TTTTTTAGTCTTTTTGAGACAGGGTCTTGCTATACAGTTTAGGCTGGCCTTGAGCTCACTTTTTAGCCCAGGCCGGTCTCGAACTCACAACAATCCTCCTGCCTCAGCTTCCCGAGTGCTGCGATTGATTACAGGGGTACACCACCATGCCCGGCTGGCTTGCTTTCTCAACAGGCTGACGGCTATGGTGCTGGGCAGGTCAGGGACCCTGCATCCCCAACTACCCTCTCCCAGAAGCTCCACCCCTCCTGCTGGCCTGGGGTGACCTTGGGGTGACCTGAGCCCCATGAGCACAGCAGCCCAGTCTGCACCAGGGGATAGTGGTGACTTGGGGTTCTTTGGGTTAGATAATATGGGTGGGAAGTGGCCCCAGGTAGGCACCATGCCGAGTGTGGCCCAGGAAGGGGGCCTCTGGCTCCTCAGGGCCAGCTGCCAAGGCTGTACTGGCTGAAGGCCTGGGTATAGATCTGTTACCACCGGGAATGTAGAGGGGAGTGCCACAGGCAGGTCAGAGTAACTTGGCCCAAAATGGTGGCAGGGTGGTGGCTAGGGTATCCTATATGTAGGTCTCTCTGGGGGCTGCTGGGACCCAAGGCCTGACAGGGACCCAGATCACAGTGGCAGATCAAGTCAGTAGAACTGGAGGCCGACCCCATATGCTGGTCCAACTTGCCCTCCTTCACACACCTCAGCATTCACACACTTGGGATGTGAGGAAGCCGGCTTTCTCTGCTTCCTGCCGCCTGCGCAGGAGCTGCACACAGAGCTGGTGCCCCTCCCTTCAGTCTTCAGATGCTCCCCAGGGGTCTGTGGAGCCTCCATTAGGAACACGGGAAGTGGTCAGGCGGCTGTGTATAGATGAGTGCTCTGAGATCCCCAGCTTCTGCCCTACTGCTGGGGCGTGGAGTTCCTGGCCAGACCCCCAGCAGCCCAGTAGGTTTGCCATGGTGCAGGGCAGACTGGTGCCACACAGGCTGGGAGGTGGAGAAACTCCGGCCCTTCCCTGGAAGGGAGGGTGAGGAACCGTTGTGGTGACAGGTTTCAGCCTGAGCTCACGACAGGCTGGAGAACCACATGGATCATTGGAGCCCTGGCTGGAGCAGTGGATGCAGGCTCTTACACTGGGGGCCTAAAAGGTGTTGAGTGTCTCCTGGGAACCAGAACACCCTCTCTGGTATTGATGCCCCATCAGGGTGCTGGCTTCCCTCTGTGGCCCTGGAGGAATGGAATGCACCCAGCTTTCTACTCTAACAGAGCGCCCCATGGGCAAGAGGGTGAGATGTCTGGGAAGAACTTGAGAAAACAGATCACAGTATGCATGCAAACAGCTAAAGGCAGAACAGAGCCATGCTGAGGGAAGCAGCACAGGAAGGAGTCACTGCTGTGGTGACATAGACTGTGAGAGGGCGGGCTTGGCCCAGGGCCCAGCACCCACTGCCTAGGAGCGACAGAGACAAGAGCTCTGCCAGAGTGACCTGAGAAGGGACAAGGCATCTGGGATGGAAACCAGGCTCCTTTGAGGCACCATTGAAATTTCAGGACACAGGGCCGCAGTGCTTCCCAGGAATAGAAGGTCCCATGTGCACCAGGCTGGGAAGCAGCTGCAGAGTGCCCTCTACACCGCGGTTCTGCAGGCGAGTAGCTGAGGCAAGGGGAGCCATGTGGACCCTGCCCCTAGCTAGATGGCCACCATAGGAGAGGTCTCCTGGGGATACTGTACTCTCTGAGTAAGGCAGCTGACCAGGAAGGAAGTCAGAGTCTTCCAGCCAGGACATGCGTGAGTGTGGTGCTGAGGGGATTTCTAAGAGACTGGACATTTGTTCAAGGACTGTGCTGCTGAGGGAGGTAGAAGAGCTCTGGTAGTCATGTAGAGAATGAGGCAAATGATAGCCTCACGATGATGAAGTTGGGAAACAGTTGCACAAGGCAGAATGTCATGGGATTGGCTCAGCCATTCGTATGTAGTCGTACATAATTAGAATACAAAGATGGAGATTGGTTGAATCCAAATGTGTATTTGGCGGCAGGGCAGTGTTGGGTGGGTATGGTATGGGTAAGGGCGGATTCCTGGTCTGCAGCAGCAGCGCTCACCTACCTACGTGGCTGCCCCAGGACACAGGCTGCTTGCTGTGCGTCAGTGGAAGTCTTGAGTGTGCTGACATTTCAGACCTCGCATGTGTTGCTTTGGTCGTCTCTGAATTTGAAAACACATGCTTCTCAACTGCACACTGGTGTGGCCTGTCAGAGAGGCATGGAGCCAGCTAACTGTGGGTGCCCAGTGGAATATATAGGGGGCACTGGACTATAGCTGCAAATGCCACAGGTATGAGGACACCCTGATGTGAATGTGTGGCTCAATAGACAAGGGAGGCAAGGAGACAGAGGCCCGTGACACACAAACACTATGCTCTGTGACTTGGGAATTTTCTTAAAAGTGTTTTGTTCAGTGTTATAAGTGATATACACTGGTCACTTCCATAGCAGTTAGAATTGTTTTTTGTTTTTGTTTTTGTCTTTTTGAGACAGAGTCTCACGATGCAGTTCAGGCTGGCCTTGAGCTCACTTTGTAGCCCAGGCTGGTCTTGAACTCTCAGTGATCCTCCTGCCTCAGCCTCCTGAGAGCTGGGATTACAGGCAGGTGCCACCATGCCCAGCCCTAGCAATTAGAATTGTAATTCTTGCATTACTTAGCATTTTACATGAACTTCTGTTATAAAAATATGGTTCCTTGCCAGAGCGTGGTGATGCACACCTGTAATCCCAGCACTCAGGAAGCTGAGACAAGAGGATCATTGTGAATTCAAGGCCAGCCTGGCCTACAAACTGAGTTCAAGACCAGCCTGAACTGTATAGCGAGACCCTGTCTCAAAAAGAAAAAAAAAAGAAGGTGGTTCCCAGTGGGTCATGGTTGTGGTATATGCCTGTAATTTCAGTTACCCAGGAAGCTGAGACAGGAGAATCACAAATTCAAGGCCAGCCTAGGCTACTTAGCAAGGCACTATCTCAAAAAGTTAAAAAAAAAGTGCTGGAAGGTATAGCTCAGTTGGGAGCACTCCTCAGCTCAACCTTCAGTACTGCAGACAAAGCTTTCCTGAGTGGGTACACTCTGCCTTTGGTGCCCTGCCACTTGCCCTGCTAGGGAGCTCAGCAAGGCACAGCAGGGCTCGGCTAACCCTGCAGCTAATTCTGGGTGGGGAACTTGGCAGGCTCAGGCCCATTACCCGCTCAAGGCTACCGTCTGGGTGGGCACCCCAGCTCCTGCATGGTACCTTCAGTATATGGTGTACAGCTGAAGTGCTGGGCCCCAGAGCCACAAGGTCCTCCCCAGCACGGGGCCTTTTCTTTGGTATTGGCAGGAGGCTCACTAGGATGAGGGGAGGTATGAGGTATCGGTGTAGATCCAGTGTGCATCTCTGTCCTCAGTCCCTTTGGCTCCCCTGACCTCAGAAGAGTCCAAGGTGGGGCTTCCCCAGGCCCTGTCTTACCCTGCCCCATGGCCCTAGGTGCTGGGGTCTTGCCCCTTCGCTGGTATGCCTGTTACTGGAGTCACAAGGGATAGATTTGGGTGCACTCATGGCCCTCGGGAGATCTGGTCCCATCTGGGTGGCTGTTCAAGGTAGCTTTTGCTCAGATGCCCCTTCTTGCTGTTATAGACGGCCAACGGGAACGTGGAGGCCAAGGTGGTGTGCTTCTACCGCAGGCGGGACATCTCGAGTACCCTCATCGCCCTGGCAGACAAGCACGCAAGTGAGTCTCAGCCTACCTCCGTGACCTTCCTGGGGGGAGGGCTGGTATGCCAGCTGCCTGGCCTAGCCATGCTGGCCTTTTCCTCTGGGACCTGGCCACTTCAGCTGCCTGACCTTGCTCTGCTCTGCAGCTAGGCTCTGGAGAGGGCCTCTGCGTCCCACGCCAATGTGCATCCTGTCAGCAGCCTCCTGGGGCTGGAATAAACAGTGCTCCTTACTGTTCTCACAGCATCCCATACCTACTTTGTGTGGACCAGCCTGGGGTGTTGGTGCTGCGAGTGAGAGGCGCTGGCCCAGACCAGGCTGTGGCAGCTGCCTGCTTCTGTAGATACTCTGCTTGTCTTCGTCTTCCTGAGAAGTTATGTAGGCATTCTGAATGGTGTTCAGAAGACAAATCCTTCTTCCCTTGTCTTTAGAACTCAGGACTAAATCTGATAAACACTAGCTGGAGGTGTGGAGCCTCATCTTTACCCTGTTTGCTGTTGGTGTCGGGCTTCTTAGCCTGAAGCAGTTGCCCATAAACTGATGATGCTCTGTATACCTGGAAGTCACAACCTAAGAGCAGATTTATTAGGTCCTGGTCCCCGGCTGGTGCTCCTGGTGACAGGCAGTCCCCTTTATCGTCGGGCTCCAAGAGAAGCCGGTGGGGGAGGTTCCAGCTGCACACACACCTGACCAGTCAACTGGGGTGGGATCTGCCTGAGCCTGTGGCTGTGAGGCTGTGATCAGTGTGCAGTGACATCTCTCACTGGGCGAGAAACCCGGCTGTGACAGGTGGCCAGGACTGTTCACCAGGAGAGCTATCCCCTAGTCTGTTTTTGTTGCAAACCAGTGGGAGGGGGCAAGACCCACCTGTAGCCTCCCAGTCCCAGCTCCTAGAGGGGCCAGGGTCTCCTGTAATGTGTGGTCAGCAGGGAGCCACCTTCCCTGGCTCTGAGCAGGGTTGGGGATGGGGGTTCCTGGTCTTCTGTGTGAGGGGCCATGGACATCAGCAGGGTAGGCATGGCTACAGAATGATGTTCCTGCCACCCTGCCGAGGGGCCTTGGGTGACTCCCTGATGTGTGGCTCAGGAGGCTTTGTGGGAGGTGTGTTCAGCACCCCCTTGTGGGGCTGTAAGCTCAGAGATTCATGGGTATGGATGTGAACTTCCCTTGACCTCTGGCCCTAGCCCATGCCCTCTCCCATGCCTTACAGCCTCCAGGTGCCAGGGAAGCCTGGGATCTGGCTGCATAAGCCACAGAGTCGGCCACTGTGGGGGCAGTGACCTCTAGGGACCACTTGCCAGAGTGGGCTGGCCAGGACCTCACTGGTGGTGTAGGCCCTAGCAGGTGCAGTCATCATGAAAGACAGGGAGCGGGGGCAGGCACAAGTGCTGGGCTGGGTTTCCCCGGGAAAGCTGTGTGGGAGACCTCCAGGGCACTCCCGCCCTCTGTGTTCCCACTGCCTGTTCAAAGGGTTCCTCCCCACCCCGCTTCCGTTCACTCTGAGTGCCTGCAGTCAGCCCAGGGGAGGCCCTGGTCAGCCAGGGAGGCCTCCAGCCCTCTCCATGGGTCCCTGCTCTTTAAGTCCTGTCGAACAGACAGGCCTCAGGCTGGAGTCTAGAGCCATTCCCCAGCCCTGTGGTACAGCCCCTCCTTGGCAAGCTCCTGAGCAAGTCCCAGCCCCTGCCCAAGCACTTCCAGGCTCTGGTTGGGGGGCTGCAAGCTGTAAGCTGTCTCTGATAGGGCCTTACCCTGCAGGCAGCCCTGTTCCCAGACCTGGAGAAGTGGGGGCATCTCAAGACCACTGTGAGCCTCAGGTGGAGCCAGTAGTTGGTCTCAGAGGACCTGAAGCTGATGCTGTCCTTGAGGATAACTCTGCCCCTCAGCATGCTGCCCATCGTAGGCCAGTTTGAGCAAAGGTTGCTGTCCTTGTGGGGTGGTGGATGGCAGTTTTCCCGGTTGCTCCTTGGCAAGGAGATGGGCAGCTCAGTGGCCATACTCCCTAGGGTATTGGGAGCCAGCTGGGCTGCCTGGAACAGACCCACACCTCCACCTGGCCTCTGAGCTTGGCCTAAGTGTACCAGGACTTCTTATAGCCACCATATGGGGACAGCAGAGAGCTACAGGTCTGGCCTGCCCAGTGGGTGTAGGGTTTGGGTGACAGTGGCCAGGTGGATCCCCCTGGTGGCCAGCACTTGGCAGGCATGAGCCACAGTGCAGAGCCCATCACCCACCCTAGTTTGCGGGCCGAGACAAGCCAAAGAGTGTTTGAGAGGAGGTTGGTTGTTCTTGAGATAGGCTTTCTGAGTTCCCTAAGTGAATCTTGAACTTGCAATCTTCCTGCCTTAGCCTCCTGAGTAGCTGGAATTACAAATGTGCACTATTGAGCATTTTTCTTTGATACAGAGTGGGAGTAGCTGCGAAGTTGCTGGAGGTGCTGGCCAAGGCCCTAGTATAGACTGGGTCCTGATGGTGGCTGGTGCCTTGGGGTATTGATCCCTGATGCTGGTCTGTCCTTCCCCCAGTCTGGGCAGGCCTCTCCTAGGACCCTCCACCTTCTCCTGTCCTTTTCCTTAGAGGAGGGGCTGGCTCATGACTTGTGGAATGGGGTGGAGCAGTCTGGCTTGGGGGCAGAGAGTGGGGGTGGGCAGCCGAGGTCGGCTGGATGGGATGCCAAGGCCTGGGTGGTCTTCAGCCGGGTGGTCTTTGTCCCCACCGGGAGGCCTGTGGCCCCCGTGTCTCCTCGGTCCGGGCCCTGGGCAGGGAGTAAGCAGCCGGCGCTGGCGCTAACCTGCCATCCGGTGCTGTCTATCTGTTATGTAGCCCTGTCAGTCTGCTATAAAGCCGGACCGGGGGCGGACACCGGCGAGGAAGGTAAGAGCCGACCTCTACAAGGAGGGCGTCCTGGTATCTGTGTCCTGGGGCTGGGGGCGGGCGGCGTGCTGAGGGACATAGCCCGACGGGCCGCTTGCATGCCCGTCCCAGCGTCCCCTGCCAGCCCGGCCGAGGAGGGGCCTTCCCCATGTTGGCCTGCAGTTGGCCGTAAGTATGGCCTGGCCTGGGGCTGTCCTGCTAGCGCCTACTCGGCTCTCCTCCCATGGTAATTCCTCCCATTCCTTCCTTTCTCTGGCTTGCTTCTTCCACGGCAGGCCCTGGATACCACACCTTTCTCCCCTTCCTTTCCTGATGCCTGGGGCCTGGATCTGTAGGGGCCTTTGAGCAGGGATGTGCTAGGCAGGGAGGAGCAGCTCCCCTGGGCCTGAGCTTGTGCAGCTGACCTGGGGCAGGTGTCAGCTGGTGTCTGCAGGCCCCGCTGACGGATACTTTGTCCTTCAGGAGAGGTGGAGGAGGAGGTGGAGAACCCAGAGATGGTGGACCTACCTGAGAAGCTGAAGCACCAGCTGCGGCACCGGGAGCTCTTCCTGTCCCGGCAGCTGGAGTCACTCCCTGCCACTCACATCAGGTAACTCCCGCGCCGCCTCCCCCAGGCCTCCCTGCTTATTTCCCCTCCACCTGTGTGTCCTTCTCTTCCAGGGGCAAGTGCAGCGTCACCCTGCTCAACGAGACTGAGTCACTGAAGTCCTACCTGGAACGTGAGGTGAGGCCCAGCCCATGTTGAGCATGTTCTCTTCAGGCCTGGGTCCCACAGTGCCCTGGGACCAGCATCAGAGAAGCAAGGGGAACAACCCAGTGGGTACCTCCAGGTGTCCTGGGGCCCACTGCTTCCCAGATGACCCCGTGGTGAGGCTCTCCCGCCCAGGACTCCAGGGGTGGGGCACCTGGCCTCCCAGGCATCTCCCAGCTGGGCTTTTACAAGGGCATGGTGGGTGTCACACAGAATGGACAGAACCCTGTGTAGGCCATGCCTGGTCCTGGCCCAAGATAATCTACAGGGTGGCTGGCCTGGCCTTGGCCACTGTTGGTGTTTGGGGCAGGTGTTTTGTTTTGTTTTGTTTTGTTTAGTGTTTCTGAGACAGGGTCTCACAATGTAGTTCAGGCTAGTTTTGAACTCACTGTGTAGCCTGTGCTGGCTTCGAACTCGATGAATCTCCTGCCTCAGCCTCTTGAGTACTGGGATTCCAGACATGTGTCACCATGCCTGGCCTGGGGCAGGTGATTCTTTTGTCGGAACTCTACATTGTGGAGTCGTAACTCCCAGATGCCACACCCAACCTATGACAACCTGATGCCCAGGAAGCTGTGTGAGCCTGGTGAGAAGGTCAGGTTTCCTGGGGCTGAGTGACTGGCAGGGGCTCTGTCAGTTCTGCTGGGGATGCATGTGGTATGAGGGATACCTGGGTGTAAGGCATGGATGTCTCCTGGGCTGTGGTATTGTGACCTGCTCAAAGCCCGTCCCCAAGTGGGCCCCAGGCTTGGCCCTGCACCTGCTCAGGTCCTGGTTCTTCCTATGTGGAGCCCCTGAGGTGACTGAGTTTGCCAGTGGGGGTGCCACTGAGAGTTTGGCCCTAGCCCTTCCTGCCCCAAAGAGCCTAGAGGCCCAAGGGACATGAAGACACCATGGCAGTCCCTGGGCCCTCAGATCAAGAGCCAGAGTGGCTTGGAGCACCAGTGTGCAGGGGTCCTGGGGTTGATGCCCCCAAGGGCTGCTCAGCTGCCCAGGAGCCCAGGGCCTTGGGAAGGTCCCCCCAAGCAAGGGGTACTTGGGAAGAAGCCCTGGTAAAGCCACATGGCGTGACAGTGAGAAAAGGTTCTGAGGATGTGTGTGAGCAGTGGGCTGGTGGTGTCACAGTGATGTGGTGATAAGCATGGTGGCCATCCTGGGTGCTGCTGCCTTGACCCTGAGGCCCGAGGGTCCTTTGGTGCCTGTTTCCACTCCCTGTCAGGACATGTAGGTTCTAAGCCATGAGCAAAGCCAGGCTGCCCTGCTGGTTCTGTCCACTGGACACGTGGACCCTCCATGTGCCTGAGACAGCCTTGCTAGTGAGATCTCAGGGCTTGGGGTAAGAACACCAAAAGACCTCCCAGGTGGCTCTTCCCAGGCCTGTGATGGCCCTTACACATTCACCATAGACAGGCTGGGTAGGCAGTCACAGAACTTGGATAAGCAGAAGCCAGCAGAGGAGGCACTGTAGAAGCGGGCTTGCTTGATCACATGAGTGGAGAGGAGCTGGGGCAGGCCTCTGGCCAGCTGTGTCCCCACAGCCCAGCTCTTGTGCCTGGGATGTATGTGGCGAGCCGTAGGAACATCCAAATACAGCCACAAGGGAAGAGTCATTTGGTTTAAAAATGGAGGCCAGGAGCAGAGTAGGGCTTGGAAAATAACCAGGAGTCAAGAGTGTCAGGACAGAAGCACAGGGTCCAGGCGAAGCTGTGGCGCCACAGTAGGGCTGGGCACAGTCCAGGGTTTGATCTGTAAGACTGAGCTGTTCCTTTCCAAGTAACGTGACCTTGAGGGTAAAGGGCAGGATGTGGAAGTGTGAGAAAAGGCTATTGCTGTAAGTTTCAGCCCAGAGTGATCTAGGGCTGAGGTTGGAGGTGACTGCAGACCTTGAGCCCTCTGTGAGAAGCTGCATTGAGAACACTGCCTCTCCATGCTGCAGCCTGTCTTCTGGGTGTGTTCCCAGGAGCCTTGGGGAATTTGTAACTCTTACACACTGGTGTATAATTTTTTTTTTTTCTTCTTCTTGAGACCGGGTCTTGCTATGCAGTTCAAACTGGTCTTGAGCTCACTTTGTAGCCCAAGCTGGTCTCAAACTCGCAATGATCCTCCTGCCTCAGCCTCCCAAGTGCTGGGATTACAGGCGTGCACCACCACACCCAGTTTGGTGTATAAATTAAATCTTCAAATCATTACTGTGACAGAAAGGTAGTGGCTGTGGCCTGACTGCCCCTAGCTGACCATGGCACCTCTCACTGGGCTCCTGTTGGGTCCCTCTGAGCTCTGAGCAGATGGGCATCGTTGGTGGCATCCTCTTGTGCCCTCCTGTTCACACTGTGTTTCTTCTGCTGCTGTAGTAACCTCATCTGCCCCAGGTCCCAGGGCTGAGGGCGTATCTGACATCTGTCTTGTGTGTGGTGTTTTTCAGGATTTCTTCTTCTATTCTCTAGTCTACGACCCCCAGCAAAAGACCCTCTTGGCTGATAAAGGGGAGATTCGAGTGGGAAACCGGTACCAGGCCGATATCACTGACCTGTTGAAGGAAGGTAGGGTGTGGGCTGAGGCCACAGTGGGTCTGCTTGGTGATGCCGTTGTAGGGAGGAGGCTGGGACACCCACCAGGCGGGAAGCTCTGCAAGGGGTGGGGCAAAGGTGCTTGAGGCACCTGTGATTTTGTTTGTTTCCTTTTGATAGCTTTTATGACTCTTAGACTGTTTTTTCCCCCTGAAAAATTTATTTTTCGAGAATCCACTGGCTTTTTGTGTATTTGAGGCCTGCCAGGAGGTTGGGAAGGCAGTAGCTGTCACTGCCCCTCTCAGATCCTTTACTCCCACAGGAGTGGGTGCACACCCCACCCCTTCCTTCTTTGCTGGAGACCTGTCTTTCATCTCCTGGTGGTGCTGGCAGGGCTTGAGTGACCCGTGCAAGTGCTCAGCAGTGCCATGAGGCTCCAGGTTCTGGGAGACGAAGACCCCCTTGGGGTGTGCATCTGAATCAGGATGTAGCTTGCGGGTGTCCTGCACCATCTGAAGGTTGTCCAGGTAGAGCACCCGTGGGCATCTTGGCCCTGGATGGCGAAGTCCCCCGGGGAGGCTACCGCCCCTGGATGCACCAGTACATGAAGTCTGGCTCTTGGGCCAAGATTAGGGTTGCTTCCAAGCAGCAGAGCCTCAGCCAGTGTGTGGTCCCCTCCCAAGTAATAACGGGCTGTGCTAGCTCCAGCCTGGCTGTCCTCATGCTCCAGCTACCTTCAGGCCTCACATTCCACATATGTCCCTCTTCCTAAAGTCCAGGCTGTGTGGGACATCCACCTGTTCTGCACTGTGGACATACCTCTTTGGCTGCAGTGACCACCCCTCTGGGCCTTGGTACTAGCCTCAGTTCTGCACCTTCTTGGTGTGGGATGCTGGTCTCTGCCCTTGAGCAGCCTGGCTTTAGGCCTCCCTGTACTTTCTAGGCTTTGGTGGCTAGGTGCCCACTTCTTCCTCCTCCACCTCCCTGGGGCTTGCTGAGGGTGAGCCAGCCTACCCTGCCAGCCACATCCCTTGGGTCTGCCCTGCATGTGAAGAGTGGAGGTCATAACAGCTCTTTTTTGGGGTCCTGAGGGTCAGAGGGTCATTGCTAGCCAGGGTCCTGGGTCTCTGGGTCCTTATGGCTGACAGGGCTGGTCCCCAGGGGTCTCCTGGGAGGTTGCCAGTGTCTGCTCTGTCCTTTGTGGAGACCCCTTGCTGTTCCTTAGGTGGAAGACGCAAGGGTTAGGGCTTTCTTGTGTCCCCTTTCTGGATGTCCAGGTAGCAGGTGTTGGACTATAAGGTAGACCATGGCATGCTACCCCAATTCTTCCATTGTTAAGGGCACACTTTTCTACTTTTTCTCAACTTAGTCATCTAGTGTTTTCTGCTGTTAGATTTATCCCTAAGGTGAGGCGTGGTGACCCACACCTGTAATTCCAGCACTTGGGAGGCTGAGGCAGGGGGATTTGTGACTTTGAGGTCAACCTGGGCTACAAAGTGAGTGAGTTCAAGGCCAGCCTGAACTGCAGAATGAGACCCTGTTTCAAGAAGACCAAAAAGGGAAGAAAAAAAAAAAAAGATTTGTCTCTGAGTACTCTTTTGAAATGTTTATTAGCTCTTTTTCTTTTTTTGTGTGGCTTCCTGATCCTGTGGCTGTAGTACCTACTCTCCCTGGGGTGTTAGATTTTCATTTGTTTGTGTGTGCTAGGGATCGAACTCAGGGCCCTGTGTGTGCCAGGTGTGTGTCCCACACTGCTAACGAACATGTTCCTGACCTCACTGTGTGTGCCTACCCCTTTCTTGTTGGCTTCTGTGGATCTTTGTCTTTGTTACGTCTGGGGGGGTATCCAAGTGAGGTGCTGAGCCCGAGAGGCAGCTATAGGGGGCAGGCAAGTACTCTGGAGCATCCTCATGGTGTATCCTCTCTGAGTGGGGCTGGTCCAATGGCCTTGCAGGCTGCAGCACCACACCTACATCCTGCAGCCTGCTTGCACCCTGCAGGCTGAGGACTAGAGATGGGAAGATCTTGAGGGTCAGTGTCTTTGCCGGGAGCCTGTGTCCCCTGGAACTGAATGTGCCAGATAGCTACCCTGGTTCCCTGTGCTCAGTGGGGTCAGGGACAGTGGGAGGTGGAGAGCAAGGCATACCGCGCCCTGCTACCTTGTGGGGGTGGGACCACATGCGAACCCCAGCGCCTTTTCCTTTGCCTCCACAGTTTTGCCACCTCCTGCTTGTGGCAGGCCTCTGCTGCAAGGTGGCCTCGCCAGTTGGTTTGTTTTGTTTTATTTTGTTTTTGCAATACTGGGGAGTGAACTTGAGTTCTTCGCACTGAGATACATCTCCAGCTCTGCTGTTAGATTATTTTCTATCTTGAGACAGGGTCTTACTAAATTGCCCAGGCTGGGCTGGAATTTATGATGCTTCTGCCTCAACCTTCCAGAGTGCTGGGATTCCAGGTTTGCACCACTATTCCTGGCTTGATGTCCTTTTTAAGTGATATGAAATTGCCTACTTGCTTTCAGTGTATTTGAAATTCTAAAGGGACCATGAGAAGATAGCTTGGGGCCTGGTGGCTATCTTGGAGCATGGTGTACAACATTTTAGCCTGAGAACCTGGGATGCCAGGAGATGGACCTCAGCTTCCTCAGCGTGTCCTGACTGTAGCAGAGTGGTCTCAGATTAGTCTGCATCAGGAAAGAGACCTACCCACAGCCCTGGAAAGTTCTGCTGGGTCCATCCTGCACAGCCTGGAAACAGGGCTATGAGTTGAAGGGCAACAACTTCAGATTTGAGCATTTAATCCTCCAGCCTCTGGTGCACGCATCTGAGCCTTGGGCTTCTCTTCCATGACCTGTTCATTGACTACTGACTGGATAAAGTATTGAGGCTGCCCAGCCCTTGAGTGAAGGCCCAGGAGAAACTGCTCCTGGGCAAGGATCAGATGTTTTCTTGGAGACACCCAGCTCAGCTTCAGCCCAAGAGATTGCCCAGTGCCCCGACCTGAGCACCTCAAGGGGCCCTGTGCGCTGGCCGTCCTTGGTCACAAGGCGCATTGATGCTAAGGGCCAAGAGGGAACTGATTGGATCTTCTGCAGAACGTGAAGCTTGATACCCTGCTAAATTATAGATGCAGTACTCAGGAGAGTTGGACAAAGGCCGATTGTGGGATTTTTGCCAGGTCCTCCCCAGAGTTGGGCCTGGCTGGCTCAGGACGTGAGTGCCCCTAGGGTCTCTCCCATGCAGTTAGTGTGGTGATTCTGGGGATGCAGGGCTGTGTCTTGGTCACATCGTCATCGGTGTCCTCACAGTCCCCAGTGGTTTTGGCAGGACATTTGCACTGAGGATATTAGTTGAAAGCACACAGGATCTGTTATTTCTCACAGCTGCATGGTTATCTGTGGTTTCTCAAAATAAAAAGCTTGATGAAAACTTAAAAGTGAGTGTTTCTCTGCCCCTTTTGGAGCAGCTATCAGAGTCCACTGGCCCTCCACTGCTGCACCTGTGAGCGGGAGGAGCCCAGCCCCAGTGAAGGGCACATGTGTGCAGGCCCAGCCCCCATGGTCACACAGCTGTCTTTGCATCTCCACCTCCTGGGATCAAGGAACCATGTGGGTCCTGGGTAATAGACAGGCTGGCTCAGAATGGCCTTCTGGGGTCCTCCCAGCAGCCTTCTCCAGCCTCACCGTACCACACTTATTCTATGTAGGGGAGGAGGATGGCCGTGACCAGTCCAAACTGGAGACCAAGGTGTGGGAGGCCCACAACCCGCTTGTAGACAAGCAGATTGACCAGTTCCTCGTGGTGGCCCGGTGAGTGCTGCCTGGCCAGGGCAGACAGCAGGGGGCTTGGCCTGGAGCCCCATATGGGTGCTGGGGACATGGGGTCTTGGTTCTCATGTTTGGGCAGGAAGCTGTGCCCCAGCTCCTGGCCCTCTGATGGCCAAGGCACCACTGGTTTTGACCCTTCTCTGGGGGATGGATGCTGGATGACCAGGGCACACGGCGTGGCTTTGGGGGCTGGGCTGGGCTGTGTCCTGGCTGTGTGCTCCTCCCAGGGTCAGGCTGCCACCTCCTGGCTTGCTAGGGAGACAATGGGAGATGCAGAAAGGAAGGAAAGGGCTTGGGCCTGGGCTGGCAGCTATAGTTAGGAAATTTTGGCAGGGCCTGGGTAGAAAGGCCACCTGCCTGTACTGTGGGTGACTTGTCATCCTGATCCCTAAGCTAAGACAGCTCCTAAAGTAGACACTGTTCCAACCTCGTGGGTAGAGCGTTCCCCCAGCTTTCTGCCCCTGGACGCATGTACTATGTGGACTCCTATGCTACTGCACTGACCAAGCTGCCCTCACAGTTTCCCAGGCTTCTGGGAGTGGAGCCCTGCAGGCCCCTGACCTGCCTGGTTGGGCACCGGCCCATCTGCTCTGGTGGTCAGTCTGTCTTCTTCTCTCCAGCTCTGTGGGTACCTTTGCACGGGCCCTGGATTGCAGCAGCTCCGTGCGACAGCCCAGCCTGCACATGAGCGCTGCAGCAGCCTCCCGAGACATCACCCTGGTGCGTGGGCTCCTGCCACCTCCCTGCCCTTGCTGAGCTCTGCCAGTTTGTGGGGAGGGTGTTGGGGACAAGATGGGCCCAAGTGACCCTGCTGTCTTGCTGCAGTTCCACGCCATGGACACGCTGCACAAGAACATCTATGACATCTCCAAGGCCATTGCAGCCCTTGTGCCACAGGGTGGGCCGGTGCTCTGCAGGGATGAGATGGAGGAGTGGTCAGCATCTGAGGCCAACCTTTTTGAGGAAGCCCTGGAAAAATACGGGAAGGATTTCACAGACATTCAGCAAGATTTTGTAAGTACCACAGGCAGGGACATAGGGTAATCCGCTGGGCCCCATGTTTTTGTGGGCTGTAGGGGACACCCTATGGGAAGCTTTGTGTGCCCCTTACAGCTGTGGCCTGGCACCCTATCCTACCCCCCCTCCCAGTCCCTGGCTGGCAGTGACAGCACCTGATAAGGACTGGGTCCCCTGTGTGCTCAGTCAGGGCACACAGGGGACTTGGGGACTTAATGGGGACTTAACAGTGCTTCCACCTGGAACTTGTTTTACATTGTTCTTACTCATCTCTCGTGTCCACCCTGCGAGTCTTGCAGTTCTTCAGTGGGATGACCTGTGTCCTCCGGGAGCACACCCACCCCAAGTGCCCCGAAGGAGTAAATACACTTGAATCCATCTGAAAGAACAACCCCACCACTGTGGCAAAGCCCACTAGGCCACCTCAGAGGAAGAACATATCTCTGGGTGTTCAGGCCAGCCTACCTACCCATTCTGAGGAGGCCAGGCCATCAGGGCCCAGGACATAGTGAGACCTCCGCTGTCCCATTCAGAGTGGCAGGAAATAGTAGCAAGCCCAAGCCAGGATGACAGAGGTGAGGATGCAGAGTGCCAGGAGGGCAATCAGGGTGCAGCATGGGCCTGAGTGTGACTCCAGGTAGCCTGAGGGGCCTTGTTGCCCAGGTGAGGCAGGGAGAGCCTTGGCTACAGTGGCGGCCAGCAGGGAGAGGGCTGCTGGAGGAGGATACTAACTGCTCCCTACCCAGCCCACAGAGTCAGTGGCCTTTGCCAGGCAGAAAGACACATAACCTGGCTAAAAAATACAGGAGCAAAACTTTCTCAGAAAAAAAGCAAGAAGGCAAGGGGTAGAAATAAATTGCATCTATTAGATTTGTGATGGAGCTGGGCAAGCTATGATTGGTGCAAAATTTAAAGGGGAAAAAAAATTGAGGGGAATGCTGCACGCTGTGAGGTGGAGAATACTTGGCCTCAGGAACCCAGGTGTGCCAGCTGCCACTCAGGAATGTAGGGCTGCCGGATGTGGTGGTGCACGCCTGTAATCCCAGCACTTGGGAGGCTGAGGCAGGAGGATCATGTGAGTTTGAGACCAGCCTGGGCTACAAAATGAGCTCAAGGCCAGCCTAAACTGCATAGCAAGACTGTGTCTCAAAAAGACAAAAAAGAGGCTGGGGATTTAGCAGCACAATGCCTGCCTGGCAAGCATGAGGTCGTGAGTTCGATTCCTGGTACTGGAAAAAAACAAAATGAAAAAAAGGAATGTAGGGCTGCCTACAAGGGCACCACTTCTGATGTCCTTGCTGTCGGGCCTGGTAGCTGAATACAGGAACTGAATTCTACATTAACGAGATTGCTCCCTGGATAATGGCTGCCATGGAACCTACTTGTGCATCTGTTCATAGAGCATCGTGGCATAGTCACTGAATACCACAGAAACAGCGTCATGGGCGAGAGTTTCTGTCTGCAGTGCTGGATTGAAAGTAAGAAGCCCACAGTCGGATCTGCAGCTCTGGTAGAGTGCTTGCTGAGCATGTGAGCACCTGGACTCTGCCCCAGCACTGCACTTGCACACGCACGTGCACCCTTGAGTCCTCAGCACAGGCGATGTTCTAAACAAGAGCTCCATGTTGGAGTCAGGAATGCCTTGGTGAGAAGACAGCAGGAAAGACCCAGAACAGCCACGGCTGTGATCCAGGTCACACAGGGGACACAGTTCCTGACCCTGCTGTGCGCAGAAAGAAGAAAAGCTGGCATCCAAAGCAGTGAAGCTGAAGAATTCCAGGAAGGATGAAGGCGGTGGAAGGAAGCCACAGAGAAGAGGTGTGAGGAAATCAAGCCTGGACACCTGGCAGCGCCGAGATGTGGCTGATACGGAAGGGACCCTGCTGGCCTCGGTCCAGCTTTTCTCCCGTTGTCTCCCTGGCTGGTATAACAAGACCTCTCAGACTGGGTGATAAAATGAACAGAAGCTTGGGACCCTGGCTTCTGGAGGCTGAAGTCCCAAGATCCAGAGCCACATCTGGCAAGGACTCTTGTCCTCCTATGACCTCAGGCAGAGCAGGCAGCAATCGCATAGCTTGAGTGCGTGTCATCTCTGACCCTTCACCATGGCAGTGCCCTAGACCCTGTCACCCCTCAAGGTTCCACACTGCTGCTTCCCGGTGGTGGTCAGATTCCAGCTCGAGTTGGGGGCTGGTCAAGCTGAGGCACTTCCCTGGATCTGAGATCTCTGTGTTCAGCACTCAGCTTGAAGGACCGCCCCACCCCCCACTATCATGTCCCCAGTTGATAGGGGCCCAGCCACAGCACCCCAGCAGTGCTTGTCCCTGCCACCCTCTATAGCCTCCTAGGCAGCAGCCCATCCCTGGCCCTCATGACATGTCTTTCTTTCCCAGCTCCCGTGGAAGTCGCTTACTAGCATCATCGAGTACTACTACATGTGGAAGACCACCGACAGATATGTCCAGCAGGTGAGGCCAAAGGCAGAGCCCTCCAGAGTCCTTATAACTGGGGCCCTGGGGTGGTTCTTTGTCTTGGATTTTGTGCAAATTTTAGGATAACTATTCGCAAAAGTCTTCCAGAAGGAGGCAGTGCTAGAGATAGTAGTGGTCCCTTCCCAGTGCTGAGGTGTGTTGCAGCCAGCCTGCTGACCTCTCTTACCCTGTGTTTTGTTTTAAGAAACGCTTGAAAGCAGCTGAAGCAGAGAGCAAGTTAAAGCAAGTTTATATTCCCAACTAGTAAGTCCTACCCCTGTGTCCTGGGCTGGCAAGGGTAGATTGTGGGGACACCCTGGGGATCCATTGGGTACACGAGCAGACTGGGGCTGCTGTGTCACCCTGGCTGGGAGTCTGGGGAGGCCATGGAAGGTGTCATGGTGCCCAGGGGCCTTGCTGTGGTTCTTCAGCCCTGCCAGTTGGTTGGGGAGAGTGGTTCAGGATCCTAGTCTGTGGCCCAGCGTTCAAGCTGGGCTTGGAGCTTGGCATGCTGGGGCATGGAGAAAAAGCCCTGGTTCATGGCAGCCACTCTTACAGATGTGCAGGGCAGGGCCTGGGATGCAGGGATGTGGACACAGGGCTCTGCCAGGCTGCCTTGACCCACCCTACCCCCACCTTTCAGCAACAAGCCAAACCCAAATCAGATCAGCGTCAACAACGTTAAAGCCAGTGTGGTGAATGGCACCGGGGCGCCAGGCCAGAGCCCTGGGGCTGGCCGGGCCTGCGAGAGCTGTTACAGTAAGTGCCTGGCCAGCACCTGCCCCCGAGCAGCAGGGCCATGGGGACACCACTGCTGTTCCTATGGTTCCTAGAGGTCCTGACCTGGAGGGCCCGCCTATGATGGGGCTGCGGCTGTGCGGGGTGTGGTTTGGTGGGTCTCTCTGGGAGGGGGCTCCCTTGGGTGGGTGTGGGGGACCCTGCTCCTGCCCTGGGCTGGGGTGGGGGGTCATGGCAGTGGGCGGGGGGGACACTGTGGAATGCTCTCTGCACCGTTGGTTCTGCTTAAGAATCCGTCTATTTCCAACTTTGTTGTCCGTAGCCACACAGTCTTACCAGTGGTATTCTTGGGGTCCCCCTAACATGCAGTGTCGCCTCTGCGCATCTTGTTGGACATATTGGAAGAAATATGGTGGCTTGAAAATGCCAACCCGGTTAGATGGAGAGAGGCCGGGACCAAACCGCAGTAACATGGTAAGTGAGGCACACCCTCCCGCCCCGAGTGCCGGCCTCAAGTCCTCGGCCCCCAGTCATGGCGCTGTGTCTGGGCGGTGCGCCCCGTTCCGCAGAGTCCTCACGGCATCCCCGCCCGGAGCAGTGGGAGCCCCAAGTTTGCCATGAAGACACGGCAGGCCTTCTACCTGCATACCACCAAGCTGACGCGGATCGCCCGGCGCCTGTGCCGCGAGATCCTGCGCCCGTGGCATGCCGCCCGCCATCCCTACATGCCTATCAACAGTGCGGCCATCAAGGCCGAGTGTGAGTGTCAGGTGTGGGGAGGGCAGGGCGGCACAGCCCATGGTGCTGAGAGTGGCTGAGACCCAGTGCACCCCGTCCCCTTGGGGCCAAGTCGGTGCAGGTGTAGCCCTGGCTCCAGAGGCCAGCCCTTTATCCTCTGGTCCCCTGCAGGCACTGCCCGGCTGCCCGAAGCTTCCCAGAGCCCACTGGTGCTGAAGCAGGTGGTGCGGAAGCCCCTGGAAGCCGTGCTCCGGTATCTTGGTAAGCAGGGGCCTGCAGGCTCAGGCAGATTCACTAGGGCCTACACTGCCCCTGAGCCCTACCCTGGCCACCGCTCCTGGGTATGGCAGCGATGGGCTCCTGCTGCCCACAAGGGAGCCCCTGAGGCCCTCACGAGGATACTCATACCCCAGCCAGAAGTGGTGTGCTCTGGGTGTTGGGCCAGATTGCCAGGGCAGGAGTCTTTCCGTGGTGCTGGGCTGAGTGGAGGTGACAGTCCAGGAAAGACATGCCAGAGCCATGAGCTAAGTGTACTTCTCGTGGACACAAGTGGCTTTGGCATCAGCCCCTGTCCACAATGGTCCTGGGCCCCAGGACCAGCCTCACCCCTGTTCTGTGAGGCAGTCTGTTTGACATCTGGCCAGCAGCCAGCCTGTGCCTCAGCACTGGTGGTCTGGATATACAGCTGGCTGATGGGCCTACTGTGCTTCCAGCCACATCTGGATCCTTGTACCACTCGCCCTTCCCCAGTAGGCTGGCCAGGCAGGAGGCCAGCCCTGCCAGGTTGCCGCCCTATGGAGGTGGGCCTAGTGCTCCTCCTATAGTGGGCATTCCGAAACGCAGCCTCAGGGTCTGGGCTCTGCATAATGAGTGTCCTATCAGCCTGGCCTGGCCACTGTGGTCAGGATGGGCCTTGTGGGCTGGGTGGGCTACTGTCTCTGGACCTGCTGGATGATGCCCCTCCCTTGCTATTTCCTCAGAGACCCATCCCCGCCCCCCAAAGCCTGACCCCGTGAAGAGCACATCTGGTGTGCTTAGCAGCCTGACCCCCGCCAAGTCAGCCCCTGTCATCAACAATGGCTCCCCCACCATTCTGGGCAAGCGGAGCTATGAGCAGCACAATGGTGTGGACGGTGAGTCTGGTGGGCGCCCACCCTTGAACAGAGGCTGGGCAGGGTCTTCTGGCCCACGGCCTCCCGGCCCTCAGCTCACGCAGCCTGGTCTTGTCTGGCTCCTATTGACCATGTTTTCTCTCCTCTTTCTCCCGGCCCTTGGCGCTGCCAGGCAACATGAAGAAGCGCCTCTTGATGCCCAGTAGGGGTAAGGCCTGGGCGGCCACTGGTGGGTGCTGTGGCTGAGCCCCGTCGCGATGCCTGTGTGTGCTGTCTGCTCGTGTGACGGGCGGCTTGGGGCGTGTCCAGGGGCAGTCCACACAGGCTTAGTGTGGTCACACACCCCCGTGAGCTCCACTTGCGTTTAGCAGAATGCCCATGAGTCTGGGACTCTGGCCCTCAGTGTCTCCTGACCCATGTCCTGTTAGTGGACTGTCCTTGCGTGCATGGCCCTGGTGTCCCTGCAACCATCGTGCTGTGACTGCCCGCATGCCTCAGCCTCGCTCGTGCCTGCAACCCCTTTGCACACCCTGCCAGTCAGGATAGCAGGGATGAGTGAGGGTGTCTGCAGAGGCCATGGGGTAGCTGGGTGGGCGCATGGTTTGGTGCCTTCCCTCTGAGTACTGGCCTTAGCATTGCACTGCTGGAGTGGGAGCTGCAGGATCCCTGCCCTCTCTGGGAGGAAGTGTAGGTTGAGTGTGGTATTGTAGCATGGGGGAATGGGGATGCTGTTTGAGACCCATGGATGCCCAGGACCAGGGTTTCTGTGGCCCCTGTAGCACCAGGGTCAGCAGAGTGGTCCTACCTAGGCTTCTCCTGGCTTCAGGCCAGCACTGTGGCCGAGCGAGCCATATCTATCCTTGGATGCTGCCTTTGGAAGCCCTGCAGATATCCTTGTGGGTAAGCCAGGGGCTCTGGTAGCAGGGTGAAATCAGGCTTCAACCTGGACCCATACCCCTCTCCTGCTGGCCGCCCATCACAGTAGGAAGTCAGGGAGGGTATCCCCAAACCCTCAGATATTACAGACACACAAGCAAGTTCTTAGTAGCTAGTCTTCTTTGTTTTGTAAAAAGCTGTTCAAAAACAAGTTAAAGGTCCATTTATTCTTGTTGAATTTTTAAAAACCTACATACTTTAGTCCCACTGTATGGTCCCTGAAGTGTGTCCTGTGGTGAGCAACCCTAGGAAGTGGCCCCTGCCTACCCTTGTAGAGCACTGCACTGGCCTGTGCCTGGGTAGGGTGGCTCCCAGGTCAGAGAGGCAGCTAACAGGAGGCAGTATCCATTTTCAGGGGTGGAGTTCCTGGCCTGGCTGGGTGGAGATGGCCCCAGCCTGAGTGGCCCACCTTCTGGGGGCTGCTGCAGGAAGGCCAGGGGTCTAGGGGCCTTGGCATGGGTGACCCTGTCCAGCCTGGGCAGGTGTGAGCTCAGTGCAGGGGCTGGCCGCCTGCATCATGCGGCCTTAATGCACTAACTAGTGCCCCACACCATCTGCTGCTCTGTCCCCACCTGCCTGGGCTGCCTACCATGCATGCTGCTCACTAACACTAGCCTGTGTCTTCTTCCTCTGCCGCGTCCCCCTGGCAGGCACTTACCTGGGTAAGTAGCTCTGGCACTGGTGGCCTCCCTGGTCACAGGGCTGGCTGGGGTCCCTGCAGTCTCTATGAGCAGGCTGTCCCTGCTCAGGAGCTTCAGACCACCCACCTGTGCCCTATACCTGTCCCCATCCCCAGGGAGCTGAGCCAGCTGGCCAGGAGGACCAGGCCAGCGAGGCAGTCCCTTGTGGGCCCTGGAGAGCACCATATAACCGAGGTGGTGTGCAGTAGAGGAGGGTGGGGAGCACCCTGAGTTGAAGGATGTATGTGGGATGAGGGTGGGGAGCATCACGTTTTAGAGGTGGTGTAATGGTGGAAGTAGGGAGAACCCTGTGTTGGTGGAGGAGGGTGAGGAGCACTACATATTAGTGTGTGGGGTACCCTGTATTGTGGGTAGCAGGGTGGAGGAGGGTGGGGCACACCCTGTGTTGGAGGTGGTGTACAGTGGAAGAAGTGGGAGCACCCTGTATTGAGGCCAGTGGGAGGCCCGGGTAGGCTTCTCCCCTGATGGGAAGACCTCAGCATTTGGGAACCTGGAGGGCCCACACTGAGTGAGGCGCCTGCCCTGTGCCCTGTGCCCTGTGCCCTGTGGGGTGGGCCCTCCAGAGACCAGCACTGGCCCCTGCCCTGAGATGGTCTTGGAGGCAACAGTGGCCCTGGGTGGGCCCAGTTGGGGCTCTAGGGTAAGACTGGGAACCCAGGTACCCAGGCTTAACCTCTGCCTCACTCCAGTGACATCCCTCCCAAGCCCTCAGCCAGCACGTCCCTGGGGGCTCTGGCCCCAGTCTGGCCCAGTCTGTGGCAGGTCTGCCTTCTGGGGTGTGAGTACTTGGAGAGAGGCCTGAGGTGTGCTACTGGATTTACAGCTATGCCCTGTGGCACCTGCTTACGGTGAATGCCAAGCTTCATCTGTCCTGGCTCCCCTGGGGGCCAGCGGACAGCCTGCTTTGGCCCACAGAGCTTCCTACCTGAGGCCTGAGCTGTTGTGCCTTCTACTGGCCAGCACAGAGCTGGCCCCAAAACCTCGGAGCCATGGAACTCCTGAGCATTGTCTTCATGGCTACCTGGCTAGGCTGGAATGCAGGGGAGCTGAGCACTCTCGTCCCCCATGTTCCCCTCGTCGGGCTGTGTCCTTTGTCCATAGAGGACCATCTGTGCTGTCAGGAGGCCATGCCCCTGTCTCGACCTCAACTCTGCCCTTTTCTCACCAGGTCTGGCAAACCATGGACAGACCAGGCACATGGTAAGAGGAACAGCACTGGGTGACACAGCAGCTTGCTCCATGCTTGGGAACATTGGGAGGCTGGGTGGGACCCAAGAAGCTATGCCAGGCCTCACAGAGCTCCTGCCTTTCCTGGGCTGGATCTGCTGGCTGCATATTGGCAAGTGGGTTGATCTGGACCTGGTTGCCTGGCGTGCTGCTCCTGGGGTGTAGGTTGCCATGTGAGGGCCAGGGGCCTACTCACACCCTTTCTGTGCTCCAGGGACCAAGCCGTAACCTGCTGCTCAATGGAAAGTCATACCCCACCAAAGTGCGCCTGATCCGGGGGGGCTCACTGCCCCCAGTCAAGCGGCGACGGATGAACTGGATCGATGCCCCAGACGACGTGTTTTACATGGCCACTGAGGAGACCAGGTGGGGGCCATTCTGGGGCAGAAGAAGGGGTAAGCAGGGAACATGGTCTCCGTCCAGCCCTCACACCCCCTTGTTCCTGCTCACAGGAAGATCCGCAAGCTTCTGTCATCCTCGGAGACCAAGCGTGCCGCCCGCCGGCCCTATAAGCCCATCGCCCTGCGCCAGAGCCAGGCCCTGCCACTGCGGCCACCCCCACCCGCGCCGGTCAACGACGAGCCCATTGTCATTGAGGATTAGGTGGCCACCTGCCCCTGGCTCGCCTGGCCCTCCGCCAGCCCCCATGTCCGTGTCTGTGAGGCCTGCACGGCTGGGCGGCCTCCTCCCCTGCCAGCGCTGCCCACCCACCCTGCACCCTGCACCCTGTGCCCTGCGTTTCAGTAGTGCCCACCTCCTGCCCTCCCTCGCAGACCGCTCCTTCGGCGGACATCGGAGAAGAAGTACGCTTTAACTTATTCCAAGAACGCCAAGGAGTTGTTTTTTTAGCTTTGTGTTTACTTTTTGGCTGGAGCAGAGAGGAGGGATGGCCTCAGCCCTGCGTGCTGTGGGGCTCTTGCTTGGGGCCAGGCCCAAGGTTTTTGTTGTGTTTTGTTGAAGGTGCCATTTTAAATTTTATTTTTATTACTTTTTTTGTAGATGAACTTGAGCTCTGTAACTTACACCTGGAATGTTAGGATTGGTGCAGCTGGCGGTGGCCAGGCTGCCTGGCAGGGTTGGCCCCTTGTCTTTTCAAGTAATTTTCATATTAAACAAAAACAAAGAAAAAAAATCTCATAAAAAGGAAAAACCCAGCTCTTCTCTATGTCTTTTGTTCTCACCTTTGGGCCTTAGGCTATCCCTGTCCCCAGCACCTTTGAGGACTCCAGGGCCTGCCTTGTCAGGTTTGGACACCTTCCTACATGGTGGCCCCAGAGCCAGGCTCTCTGGGGCATGCGGGCACACTGGGCTGCTGGCTCTGCCCTGGAGCTACCAGGCCCTGAGGAGGTAAGCTGAGCCAAGACTGCAGCAAAGGAAGCCAGGCATGGTGGTGCACAGGGAGAGGAGGAAGGCCGCTGAGGCAGGAGGATTACTGTAAGTTTGAGGCCAGCCTGGACTGCATAGTGAAACTCTGTCTCAAAACAAAAAAGACCGCAGCAAAACAAGGCTGGCCCTGCAACTGCACCTGGAACTTTCTCAGGCTTGCTGAGAGCTCACAGCCAGGCCCTGCCAGGAAACCCTCCTTTTGCTTGTCCCCTGTACCCACCCTCACAGGCACAGTGACAGGTACAGGCAGGACCAGCGTGGGGGGAGGAGTCTGGGCCTTAGAGCACCCCTCCCCCAAGGCTTTGCCCCTACCTGGCCCCTTTCTAGGGGATAGTGGGCTCTGCCCTCTCCCAAGCACACTCCCCAGGCTGTGGAAACTTCGAATTAAAATAGAAACCACTTCTGTTCCTGCCCTGGGACAGAGATAAGGGGGCCCCGCCTCCCTCTTCTATCCTGTGATGGGGTCCAACAGGGTGACAGCCCCAGGTGTTGGGGATGAGGCTGCAGTGCACACTCCACCCATCCTCCTAGGGTCTTCAGGTCAGCCGTCTGCCCCTTGGTCCTCCAGAAAGCCTCTCAGGCCTCTTCCAACTTGGGGGTCTGGAGGAAGAGAAGAGGCTCTGGACTGGCTAGCCTGGCACCCTTCCCCTCAGCTGTGAGTTTCTCCCAAGGCTGGCCTTTTCTGGAGACATTGGGTGTGGGCAAGGGCAGGTTCAGCTTTGCCCTGAGGAGCCTGGTGTGCCACTTCCACCTTGGCTTCTGTCCCCCATGCCATATCTGCCCCCCATTCCACTGTACTGGCTTTGATGCTCACTGCAGGGCCAATTTCCTGCTGCCTGTCTGCTTGCTGCTTGGTCTAAGCTTAGGAATGGGGCCTGGGCACAGACTGGGAGGGCAGAGCCCCAAGAATGGGTTTTCCAGCTTTGTACCCTCACTGTTGCTGCAGCCCAGAGCAGGCCCTCCCAAGAGGGCAGGTGAGCATGCCCCCAAAGAGTTGGGAGGCTATCCGGGAACCTCCTAACAGCCCCACCTGTCCTGTCAAAACTACCCCACAATACTGCCCAGCCTAGGCTTCTCCATCCACTGCTGACAGAAAGCTGGGTTCCCTGCAGTAGAGCAGGACTGGGCAGCAGAGCACCACATCTCTCCAGGGGGGCCAGGATGGGGACCTGCCTTGTGCCTGGCCCTCTGGCCTGGCACCAGGCCCCTGCCCACTTCCCCTATATGTAGCCCTTTCCCATACTAGAAGTCCATCTGGCTCTGTCACTGCCCAGCCTGTTACCCACTATGGCTTGAGATGGAGGCCAAGTTTACTGCCCTGGGTCCACTGACCCATGGCCCTTCCTGCAGGCCCAGAATAGCCCCTTAGCACCAGGGAGTCTCTAGCCTTAGCCCAGGGACTGTTGCTGGGGGGTGGGAAGGCCCCTCCCCTGACCCATTCCTTTGCTGCCACCCTTTGCTTTTGTTTTTTGGGTACTGGGAATTGAACTCAGAACCTTGTGCTTGTGCTGCTGAGCTATATCCCCAGCCCGCTGCCACCCTTTGGATGGCCCCGTCTACCCTTTGGGCTGGTACCCTTGGGGCCTCCTCCTAGAAGACTCCTGTGCCCAGCCAGCCCATCCTTAGAGCCGTCCTACAAATGTCATTGGTGGGTGGTGGGGCCCCCAGCATTCCTGGACCAGGCAGACCTAGAGGACACAGTAATGGGTGCTGAGTGGGGCCCAGGGGCTGTAATCCAGCCTGAGCAAGGGGTAGGCTGTGGCTGAAAGGCCCTGCCTGTCGGCTCTAGCCTTGGCTGGCATGAATCCAGAGGTGCCCAGGGGGAGCTGGTTAGGCTGGTCAGTCGGGCTTGGGGGAGCCCAAGGTTCAGGCTGCTGTCACCATGGAAATGGCAGTGCCTGCAGGCTGTGTAGGGAGGGACAGGGAGCCCAGGAAGGCAGAGTTACCTGGTTTCTGAGGGCTCACAACACAACACGCCACCAGGCTTAGAGGCCGTAACAGGCCGCTTGGCCTGTGTCCTTGCCTGGGCAGGTGAACCAGGCGGGGGAAACTAAGCCACCTCAGCACTTGTCAGGGCCTTGCAGACACCCTGTGCAGTGGGGTGGGGCGGGGGCACCGTCTGCTGTTGGCTGCCCAGACTTGGCTGGTCATCAGGGCTTTCGGTGGGTGGGGGATGTTTGTTCCGCAGGCCCAGGGCTCCGCTTGAGCCAGGAAGTTCAGAGAAGAGTCTTGAGCCCGAGTACCCATCCCCTGGGTGCTGGACCTGCTGGGCGCCAGGATGAGGGAGGAGAGATGGGGTGGGTCAGGCAGGAAAGGTCATGGAGAGAACTGGGAGCCCGAGGGGTTCCTGAAGGCTGGCAGGGTAGGAGCCATGATCTGACTGGCAGGTTCCCAGCTCTGCTGCCTACAGTACGCCTGAGGCCAGGATGGGTGAGGCAGGGGTCAGCTCACACCCCTGGCACGGGTGGGAGTGCGTGGAAAGGAGCTTCCGCCGGAGAGCGCCCAATCCCGCCTCCAATCCCCTCCCACGATGTCCGCGCTGTTTTTGGAACTCGCGGCGCCTCCCTAGAGCTCGTAGTCGGTCTTCAGCACCACAGACAGGACCGCGGCGCCCAGCCGGCCTGCTACTAGACACTCCGCTCTACCGGTCGTTGCTATGGAAACTGGGCAACAAAGGGAGGCGGCGCCGCGCAGCGAGCGGGGGTGAGGATGGGGGTGGGGGTGGGGGTGGGTCCGCGAGCGGCCCGGGCCCCCTCCCGTCGCTAGCCGCCGCCAGGACGCCAGGGCGGGCTCCTCAGACCCGGGGGCAGCTCGCGAGGGGGCGCCCTAGGCAAAGCCTCGACGTTGCCATGGAAACTCCAAGGGGGAAACTCTTGGCCGCGGCCTCTCAGCCGGTGCCGGTAGCGCCCAGCCGGGTCTCCCGCCGCCCCCGCCAGGTG